AAAAAGGGAGGAAGCGTGTGTGCGAGCGGGCGAGGGAGAGGGAGAGCGGCGGCGGGGGCCGCCCGCTCCCCCTTTTTCTTCTCTCTCTCTCACTCGAGGCCTCTCGTCCCTTGGAAGCCCGTTACCGGGAGGGCCGACCTTCGGGAATAAATCAAATTTGAAGGGAGGAAAGGATAGAGCGGCCTTTTTCCCCCTTGTTCCCGGTTCGATTCCCGTCGCTGACAGTACACATACAGTACACAACATAAGTCGGACAATTACATACAAGACATACAAGATATAAACTCTTCACACATTGGACACTCCATTACAGTATGCACCCCTCCCCCCCCCCCCCCCCCCCCCGCCCCCTACAAGACATACAAGATATAAACTCTTCACACATTGGACACTCCATTACAGTATGCACCCCTCCCCCCCCCGCCCCCCCCACTGCCCTCATGTCCTCCCGCTTGCCTGTCTGCCTCCCTCTAATTGTTTATTGATTAAGATGATAGCCTGCGGTATGAATGAGTTTTTATATCTGTTTAATTTGCAGAGAAGAGTCCTATACTGTACCTCCTTCCTGAGTTTAGGAGCTCGAATTGGGAGTGTAACACATGGGAGGGATTGTCTAAAATGTTGTTGGCCTGTTGAATAACAGACTGCACATATATGTCCTGGGGAGCAGGGGGTGGGGGCTGCCCGATTACCTTCCCTTAACCAAGCTGGTTATCTGAGCCTTAGATTTAACAGTTAGGTTCCCAAACCAACTGGTTATTCCAAAGCGCAGGACTGACTCAATGGTTGCTCAATCAGTGATCAACAGAATGCTTCTGCCAACACCAAATATCTTTAGACGTCGCAAAAAATGAAGGCGTTGATGGATCCGCGAACAGACATATGATACATGTGTCTGCCAGTTAAGCCCGCAATCCATATAAATCCCCAAGTATGTGTAAGAGGAGACCTGCTCGATGTTCGTGCCTTGAACATCGTATGTGGATGTTCAGTTCGACAAACCCCCGCTGCTGAAAGACCCCAGTTTTAAAGACTTCAACAAGGATGACAACATTGATGAGGTAATCTGGTATAGGCTCTCTGATTACTAATCAAAATAAAGGTTGTTGATTTCGTACGCTCATGCAGTCCACAAGTTTCCTGCTTGCATCATCTGAACCAATACGAAACAAACACCCAATCCATTATAGGTGACTTATTTTGTTATATTTATGTAGGATTTTCCATAATTCTGTACCACACTAGTGATCCCTAAAGTTAATGGCACTTAAGGGGGCAGGTATAAGTAAGGGTGGTGGGGGGGCACTCATTTGTGACCATTTTCTTGTTAGGGATCAAACGGACATTTAGGATTTGTGTATACACAAACAGAGGGTGAGATGAACAAACCATTTGTTCGGTTCAAGTGGGGGAGAAACCATTTTTTTGCCAAAAGCTCAAGTTTTAGTTAAGTGACCCATCAGGGATCGTTGGATTGGGCCTCTTTGGCACATACGTAGATGGGTTACTTGAGCTAGGCCGTTGTGTCGCTGTGACATTTTTTCCTGGCTTTGCATCTTCTTCTATCTATTTTCCCCCTGGCACACATTTCTAGTTGGAACCAATTAAGACCGTAAAGAAAGTACAGAAAATCTTAGACTTTTCCTGACATTTCTCTGTTGCTTTCTAACAAAAGCCTGAAAGTTTTGCGTTAACACTATCCCTGATTTCATAGCTTTTCAATGTGCTGGAATGTTGTCAGCAAATATTGTTTTAGGAAAAGAATTGGTTGTTCTGTTTGTTCATGCTTTTAGATGTTGAGCTTTTGGGTATGTGAAGCACATTGGGCAACTGTGCATGAAATGTGATATATAAAGTTGTCTTACCTGTAACTGTTAATAAAACTGACAAATGCTCAGGAAAAACACCCAAAGCATGATGTCGGCACCAGGCTTCACTTCATTTTTTTTTTGTTTTTTTTGGGGGTGGGGTGGTGGGGGGGTGATAAATAGTGTTGCCATCTCCTGCCTGTGCAGTCACTTTTTGTGGCAGAGGGGTTTGTGTGGCCCAGTGATCTTAGGGGCGATGTTGTCTGGGCTTTATGCCCCTGGCTGCGTCACCGGGGGCAAACAGGTACAACAGATGAGGGACTAGATGAGGCATGGCTGAAAAAAACCCTCTATGATGAACTCGATCTTAGACAAATGCTTTCCCTTGTTTGGTCTCCGGGCCACCCCTAAAGAGCCAGGCCTCAAGGTGGGGCTCATCTGGCAAGTGCCTGGTTGCCGGGCCGACCCCACAAAAAAAAGGACCGTGGGAAATCTTTCTTGTTGCACCCCCCTCCCCAGTGTAGGGGGCCAAGGGTTCAGTGTGAGATGGGCGGTGTCCCGATCCCGCCTTGAAAAACTGACTCTAGGAACACGAAATCCCATATCTCTAACAGAGAAGGACCCTGAGCTTGTGTGTGAGGTAGAGAAGTTCTAACAAGATATCGCCAAGTTCATCCCATAACACAGTTTTGGGTTCTGGGACTAGTCCTTTTGTGAGGTTGGACTCATATCTTAGTGTCTGCATACTTATTGCCCCCAGCTCAGTGCCTGTACATTGGTGGAAAAAAAAGGGAGTGTCCCTCTGCTTTCAAATGTGGGAATTGGTCTCGACTGTTGCACCACAGAGCACTTGGGGGTGGTGGAAAGAACTCTCACGGAGTACTTCCTCCCTCTGTTGGGGGACTTTAATGCTCACTTGGGCAATGACAGGGTGAGCTGGAAGGGTGTGCCTGTGAGGAAAGTTGCCCAACCCCGTCGCTCCCAATAGCACCCGAGCATTGTTCTGGTATTGGACTTCTGTGCTCGCCACAGATAAAGAACAATCCTTTTGTGCAATTGGTGGCACAACGCCCCACGCCACAGTTCAATGAGAGACTATCCAGTGGATTCATCGGACATGAGGCCGAATGTCTTGCACACTCAAATAAAAAGAGGGGAGAAGCAGTCAACTAATCCCCACTTCGTGTTATGTTGACTGCGACGGTAGGGGAATATGCGGGTCCAACCTGGCAAACCCAAATATATTGTGCTGGGAATGTCGGACAGAGGTAACTGTCCAACATTACTGGACACAACATCAGACAGGATGCTCCCCAACTCCATAAACTAGGACCTGTCCTAACCCTAAATCAGTAATCCAGGAAACAATGACTTCACAAGCAACAGAAAAAAATGATATGGTAATGAGAGCACGAGAGAAGTGTATAGTTCAGAGGGAGAGGAGAGGACTGGGTGCTTCTCCTCACGGCAGCTCATGAAGTGGGCTTGGTGTTTGATGAGGAGAGGACTGGGTGCTTCTCACGGCAGTTCAGGAAGTGGGCTTGGTGTTTGATTAGTGAAGTACAGAGACTGTCGAACTGGGAAGGGTTCTTGGTAGACAAAGAAGAGACAGCAAGGTTTAAATAAAACTGTTGAGGAAACAATCCAACTGATTAGTATTATCTAACTCAGCGGCGGCCATGTTCTTGTGGTTATGCTGGCCACCTGCCATTTTAGAGATCAAAAAAAAGTCAGCCTTGTCAATCTGGACAATGTGCTAACTGTTTGCGGTTATGTTGCGATCAGTGGCGGATGCTGGTCTGTCAAAGAGGGGAAGCTCAATTTAGGCCGACATCATAAAATGTGTCCGTTTATTTATACGTGAATTCTATTCTCCGTTCCTTTTCAAGAAAATGATCTGTGACCCTGTCATACCAACAAGGCGTCTTTTCCAGGGACTTAATTAGTGTCCTATAACTACAGGAACTACAATAAAACCCACCAGAAATAAAAGATTAATTTGTTCCTAGTTGTTTACAAGAAAGAGTGTCGCTACGATGATTAGAAGTCATCTCCAGTTCAACTTAGAACAGAATGCGAATTGAAAAACTGCTCACACGGATGCCTACACTAAAAGGTCGGTGATTGGCTCATTTCGATGTCAATCAAACTGGCACACAGGCTCAGACAGATCATCCAATCTGATGCAGAAAAGCCTGGGGTCCAGTACCCTCCCACTGCCATCCAGTCCCAGAGACGCTGAGCGTCCGTGGGCGGGACAAAAACCAGCTTGTATCCAATGACTCGTCTCCGTTCAACGCATTAGGACAACCTACCCTGAACTCTCGAGATGCTCGGCGTCCGGGCAGTAGACGCTCTGCGGACGCTCAGCGTCCACATTTTAAAGCACAGCGAAGCTGCGAGAATGAATGAGAAGGGAGTCGCGTCGTATCCAGTAAGAAGAAGCTGATTCGGAACAAAAGTTGAGCACGTTGTAGCGCATATTTAGTCAATGATATGTACACACAATGAAATTTACATTCATATATTTGATCACTTATTCTTTAACATTTTATGGGAAGCCGAGCTTCCCTTGCAGTCCGAGAGCAATCGCCACTGGTTGCGATAAAATGCAATAAGCTGCCAACAGGGTCAGCCCCAAGTTTGAATGCTTTAATTTTTTTTTCTCTTTTAGATATTTTAGAAACCAAGTTTTATTTAATTATTTTTTGTTTTTAAAGTTTTTTGCTAATATGTTTAAATGTGATCAAACTACATTGTAATAATTGTTGAAACAAATTTTGTTTTCTCTGCTTTTGAATGTCGTTAACTTATATTTGTAAATGCTTGTAGATCTGCTTCGCAAGTGTGAAGCACATTGAGTTGCCTTGTGTATGAAATGCTATATAAATAGAACTGCCTTGCCTGGCCTTACCTAACAAACCGTAGACACGACGTGCGTAGTAATTTGGTACAGTGTAGAAATGACATGGTATGGATTTTAACAAGCGCATTGCCAATGACAAAACTTGATCATTCAATTTATATATCAGTTAAAATCCTGGTCTCCGAGGCAATTACTTTTCGCGCCAGCCACAATTTGGAGTTTGGGTTAGTCTAACCACCAAAAAGCCGTAGCCATGTCCAGGATGAGGCACCCGTGCTTTTGTTACTTCCATGGGACTCTTTGGAACAACTCTTCATTGGACACATTATCACCAGTAAACAAGATGCTATAATGCCTTCAAGAAAATTAATCTCATTATGATCATACATATCATGCATAGTATGGAACTTCTACCTTTGAGACGCAACAGAAGCAGCGGCCTCAAGGGCAAACTGTCTCATGACGCTCTCCTCCAAGTACTTTTGTTCCCACTTGGTCATATCAGCCTCCAGAGCCAAAATACGTTCCTCCTTCTCCCTCAGGTGCTCCATTAGTGTGGTGACACTGTACTCCGATGGGACCACACCATTGTTTGGTGTGCCTCCCTGACGCTGGAAAGGAAAAGGTATTTTGATGACAACAACTTAAAACTTGAATACAGTTGTATAGACATATTAAAAGGATGTAAAACATCACATACATTCACTTGTTTAAATAGAAAGGTCTGAACATATTTTGGTGACAATTTGAGTGAATGTATTTAGATACAAGGACAAACTGATTCAATTTTTATGATGATCTGGGTCAAAACTGGATCAAACATAGGCAACATTTTTATCAGCTGAATTAATTTCTCTGCATATGAGTGTCAATGACACAGTTAAAAACGTCAGGAGCGGCCATGCAGCCCTGTCTGACCCCACTGTGAATGGGGAACCACTCAGAGTCCTTCCCATTCACACGAACACAGCTCTCTGAGTTGTTGTTCAGTCTCTGGAACAACGCGGTTATTTTGGGTGGAACTCCGAGGCACTTCAGGATGTTCCAAAGGGAGAGGTGGTCAACTGTGTCAAAGGCAGCTTTAAGATCTATGAAAGCTATAAAGAGATGTTGGTCCTTCCGAAACTCTCTGACATTCTCAACAATGAGTCGAAGAGCTGAGATGTGGTCTATAGTGGACCGATTGGGCATGAAGCCGGCTTGTTGAGAGCGGCGGTGGTTTCGAATGTCAGGAAGAGCACGGATGAGAAGGTGTCATTGACCACCTCATGAGCTGAGTCCGGGAGCAAGTCTCAGGCATGTCATTTGGCAACCTCCACCTGACCAACCTTGAATATGCCGACGACATCACCCTGTTCAGCAACTCCCTCCAACACCTCAGCAGTGCTCTCTCCCTATACCAAAATGAAGCAGCAAAGCTAGGCCTTAAAGTAAGATGGCAGAAAACAAAACTTATGTATATTAGTGATGGATCCCACCCTTCCCTCCTGTTTTTTGGCTCAGACGAAGTGCAATTCATTGATTCCGTCATCTATTTGGGCTCCACCATTACAAGCAACAGTAATCTCAAGCCAGAGATCGACCGCAGACGCGGCCTTGCGGCTGCAGCTATGCAGTCGCTATGGCACCACCAATCAGTGTCCGAAAAGACCAAGATGCACATCTATAATACAGCAGTTCTTCCCATTCTCTTGTATGGTGCAGAATCCTGGCCTTTAAACAAGACTCTGGCCAAGAGGATCAATGGCTTTGACAGCAGGTTACCATCATGAACATCAGCTGGCACCTCCATGTTTGTTTGTTTGTTGTTTATTGAACATATAAAAAATATACAGTAATACATTGACAGAAAGTGAAGCTAAGTAAAATTGTATGAAAGTAAAAGAAAACAGTCACCATCCAGCACAATTATATGTTCAAAGGAGTAGGAAGAAGTAAAAAAACTTATCTAGTCCTACCTCTTGTTATGAAATAGTATATAAATTGATCATTTTTTATTTCAATCAGAAAAGAAAAGGAAAAGTCTGCATATAACCAAATGCTTTTACCTTTATGTGTGCTATACTTATCTATTTTTACAATTGTTACCAATTTAGATCTCGGAAAACGTACCCTTCAGCCCCCCACATTTCGAGTGGTCGCCCAGAGGAGCATCCGTTGGCTTAGACATCTCTTCCGATTACCCCTGGAACAGCCTACTCGTGCCATCTTTTCATTCAACCCAGCTACAGCTGGCTGGAAAAGGCCACGCCGCAGACACCACACCAGATGGCTTGATGTCATCAGGAAGGATCTCCAGGACCAGGGGCTTACCCTGGAGGACACAGCGGACCTGGCTCATGACCGTGGCCATTGGCGGGCCCTGGTGAAGCTGATCGGCTCTACGCACTGTGGCAAACCCGCCGATTGAGACCGGGCCCTCGCATCGCAAGAGCATTTATTATATATTAGTGTGGCAACCTAACCCTGCTTTCTTTTACCATAAAAAAGTTCATTTTTGATTGATGTGGATCTATATTTCATCTCATCAAGGAAGGGTAAAATAAACCACATGTTAAGCATGACAGAGACGGAAAGGGAAACTTTTAAAGAGTTGATTGTATACTGCACGCAACCCCTGGCACCTCACAACCCAGAACTCCTCAAATTATGATCTCGCAACCACCAACCTGAAAGACTGTATCACAGCATTTCATTCTATATCATGCCAGTACCATGTAGCTGACTTCTCAACACTGCAGTAGCGTACTTCTCCAGGAATCAACAGACAGTGCAAAGGGAAACCAGTGAGACAACTCCAGTCCTCCAATGTCATTTTGTGAAAAACCCACCACCAGTGTAAGATGTGAACAGATACTTTCCATTCGGACACAGAAACCAACTCAGAGTATGGAAAACATCACCTTCAGACACAGGTACTTTATTGTACATGTACATTCTATCCAGTCCCAGAAAATATGTCCGAAAATGGAAAACATGACAATCAGACTTTTATGATTTGCATTTTTTTGGAATCTAAGCATGTAAGAAAGCTCATCAAAATTTGCACACTCATGGGGCCTGGTGAAATTTTTTATATGCAATCTGCAATGAAAGCAGGGAGCAAGTAGTGGAACATTTAGAAGGGTGGAGGCATGCGCTCCAAATGAGAGGAAAGAAAATTAACACAAGTAAGGAATAACTTATGTGCATGAATGAGAGAGCCGTAGATGGAAAAGAAGAGCTAACGAGCCATGCCCAAGCCATGCTCAGCCTCATCAAAACACTAAGAATAATTTTTTTTAAAGTGTTTCCAATAATTGAAGGGTAGAAATGTTCTTAAAAGCTTCAATTGGCTGCTTATATCACGTGCAGCCGGTTAGTTCGCAGATCGGCGCGAGACGCGGCCACAGCTAGCGATAGCAAGTTTAGCAATGAGCTTCGGGTGGCTGCTAATGCCTGTGAAACATATTGCTGTTTCGGTGCTGACTCAGCAGTCACAGTCACTCTATCATCTCGCCTCCATGGCGGCGAATAAACTCCCCTTCTTACAAGTATGGTGAACAGAGTAAAAGCTGGAGGAGCTATGCTCTTTGCTAAACTAGCCTAATGTAATTGTGAAAGACCAGAATGAAAAGTTCTTGGGTGACTGAATACACTTCACAGCAGTCTCGCTGGAACCGTTTGTGCAGAGCATATCCAACTTTTATTAAGAAAATAGAAGGACATTTATTAAATGTCTGGAGAAATAAATGACTTCAAAATAATGCTGCACACACAGATAACAGGAAAAGTTATGGCATCCCGTACGTCAACCTGCAGGAGTGGACTAGATGATTAAACGTATATTAATATTGAGGATAAGCAATTCAGATAATACATGCATATACAGTGAGTGTATTGAATGCAGATATACGAGTGCGCAAAAGTGCAGTGAATGACGAACTGAAGCGCTTTATTCAAATTGCTCATGTGCTCCGTCGCACCACTTATGTGCACCCTTGGTAATATTACAGTTATAACTGGCTTCTCTAGTTCAAATGTGGCCAGCAATGTAAACAAATTACCCGTAAATGTCTGAAGCTTAAAAAAAATCGATTTTGATTTGCATACCTGTTGCATGCGTAGTGATTCCAGCTCTTTCTCCAGCCTTGTACGGAGTCGATGTTCAAGTTGTTCTCTCTTTTCGCAGGCTGCCTGTAGCTGAGCTAGAGCATGTTGCATTCTTTCCACCTTTTCCACATAAACTTGTTTCTTCTTTAGCTACACACACACACACACACACACACACACACACACACACACACACACACACACACACACACACACACATACAGGAGATTAATATTAAGGCCGTTCCACTTTTCGCAGGAACTTTACCCCAAAAGTAGAACATTTTGCTATAACTTGGCATGTTCACAACTAGAGCTGAACTCTTATGGAAAATAAGCTACCTTATTTTACGCACTATAAGGCACATCTAAAAGCATTCAATGTTCCCAAAAGCCGACGGTGCGTCCTATAATCTGATGCGCTCTCTATGGATGGTGTTACACAGTATCTTTATATTCCCCATTGAGTTGTTTCCCTGTTAGTGTTCCTATGCCATCGAGTGATAATTATTACTGTAGTAGGAACCAACTGTAACCTAAAAGGGTTCTGCCTGACACTAACTGACGTGCATTCACCAACACACACTCAAACAGACAACTTTGTGAGCTCTGCGCAGCCATTATGAAACGATGATAAAACCAAAAGCATCGTAAACTACTGACTAAACAAAGGAAGAAGGAGACCAGCAAGACTTCGAAGGATATTTAGCCCCTTGTGGATGTGAGCCCATGAGGTTTGTGTGCCTTTTTGTTGGCTCAATGGTTTTTGTAACTTTTATCTTTCATTTATTGTTTTGTAATGCCATTTGTATTTACTGGATATGTTTCATGTCCGGCTGTGTTCTAGCTGGCTCTCGATCAATAAAGTTGGATGTCATGTATTCCCTTTGAAGTAGCTCCATCTGGTGTATGCTTAGCAAACCGTAGCCACTTCTATTCGCTGCGCCTTACAATGCAGTTCACCCTATATATGTAAAAAGTTTTGAAATCATTGAAGGTGCGTCTTATAATCTGGAGTACCTTATTGTGCAAAAAATACGGTGATTACAATTGTTTATTTCCCCCTACGAATTGTGATTGTGATGTTTTATGCGATCAGTGTTTTGACAAACAAGCAATTGATTTGTCTTTATTTCAATAAGCAATATCAGATATATTATACAGGTTTTTTCCTGCGTTCAAAATTGCGTGGCGGCCGCCTCCAGCTCATTTTGTGCCGCATAATGCTCCAGCTATGCTGATTGAGGGATTGATGTCCCTCTGCGGCAACTTCGCATTTTAACTACAGCTGCAGCGTTGCACTCGACTCTGCGGCTCGAGTCTTGAGGCCGGTATATTGAGAGTTTTGCCTTTTGGCTCAGCTCCCTCTTCCCCACGACAGAACGATGCAAAATCTGCATCACAGCCTACACTGCACTGATCTGCCTGTCGTTCTCCCGCTCTGCCCTCACTCTTGAATAAGACCCCAAACTCCTCCACTTGGGGCAAGATTTCATCCCCAACCCGGAGCGGGCACTCAACTCTTTTCTGACAGAGGACCAATGTTTCAGATTTGGAGGTTCTGATTTTCCTCCCAACCGCTTCACACTCTGCTGCGAACTCCTCCAATGAGAGTTGGAGAGCCCTGCTTGAAGAAGCCAACAGCACCACAATATCTGCAAAAAGCAGGGATGCAATACTGAGGCCAACAAATCGGACCCCTTGATCACCTTGGCTGCACTTAGAAATTCTGTCCATAAAGGTTATGAACCGAATCAGCGACAAAGGGCAGCCTTGGTGGAGTCCAACCCTCACTGGAAACAATCCCGAATTACTGCTGGCAATGCGAACCAAACTCTGACATCGTGGTATAGAGACTGAAGGGTTGGGCACCCTATACTCCCGAAGCACTCTCCAAAGAATTCCCCGAGGGACACAGTTGAATGCCTTTGCCAAGTCCACAAAGCACGTGTAGACTGGTTGGGCGAGCTCCCATATACCCTCAAGGACCCTGCTAAGGGTGTAGAGCTGGTCCACTGTTCCATGGCTGGGACAAAAACTACACTGCTTCTCCTGAATCTGAGGCTCAACTTCCCAACGGACCCTCCTCTTCAGCACCCCTGAATAGACCTTACCTGGGAGGCCGAGGAGTGCGATCCCTCTGTAGTCGGAACACACCCTCCTGTCCCTTTCAAAAAAAATAAAAAGAGGGACAACCACACCGGTTTGCCAGTCCAGAGGCACATGCCCCGATGACCATGCGATGTTGCAGAGGCATGTCAACCAGGACAGCCCCACAACATCCAGAGTCCTGAGGAACTCTGGGTGGATCTCATCCACGCCTGGGGCTTTGCCACCGAGAAGCCTTTTAACCACGTCGGTGACTTCAATTCCAGGGATAGGAGAGCCTTCCTCAAAAGGAAGGTGTGTTAGTGGATTTGAGGAGGTCTTCGAAGTATTCTGCCCACCGACTCACAGCCCCATCCCCACTGTACACAGTGTTAATGGTGCGCTGCTTCCCCCTCCTGAGATGTCGGATGGTGGACCAGAATTTCCTCGAAGCCATCCTCAGAGATGAAAGTGGACTTTCCTGAAAATTCCGGAAAAAATAAAAAATTAATATACACTGTGTGTGTGTGTGTGTGTGTGTGTGTGTGTGTGTGTGTGTGTGTGTGTGTATACATACACACATATATATATATATATATATATATGGAAACACTAGCATGTCAAAGCCAAAAGGTAAGCAGAGCTGCAGTGTAAGCACAGATTAGCTTTAGCTAACAGTGCAATGAGCAGCACATACTCAAATATTCGGGAAGGTTGACGACTTGGGCATGGGGGGTATTTGTGTTTGCCGATGTGCATGTTTTTGCTGCAAGTATCACGTGGATGGATCCCCAACCCAGCCACTAGGGAGCAGTGCCCTCCCCTGGGGGTACACTGTTCCCCAGTGCCGGTCCCAAGCCCGGAAAAATGGGGAGGGTTGCGTCAGGAATGGCATCCGGCGTAAAATTTTTGCCAAAACGAACATGCGAGTTGATAAAACGATTTCCATACTGGATCGGTCGGGGCCCAGGATAAAAACGACTGCCAACAGTGCTGTTCACCTACAGGGTACTGCTGGAAATTGGACTACTGTTGGTCAAAGAAGAAGACAAAGAAGAGGAGGACGATTGGTACAGAGAAAGAGGGAAAGGAGGAAGGTTAGAAGTATTGGTCTGAGGTTAGGAACTCTGAATGTAGGTACAATGACAGGGAAAGGCAGAGAACTAGCTGACATGATGGAGAGGAGGAGAGTAGATATTCTGTGTGTTCAGGAGACAAGGTGGAAGGGCAGCAAGGCTAGAAACATTGGAGGAGGCTACAAGCTGTTCTACCATGGTGTAGATGGGAAGAGGAATGGAGTAGGGGTGATTATAAAGGAAAAATATGCTAGACATGTAGTAGAAGTAAAACGAGAGTCAGACAGGTTGATGTGCGTGAAGGTAGAGATAGAAGGTGTGATGATGAATGTAGTCAGTGGGTATGCCCCACAGGTGGGCTGTGAGTTAGAAGAAAAGGAAAAGTTCTGGAATGAGATGGACAGAGTGACAGAGAGCATTCCCAGGGG